AGCAAACATAATCTGCTGTTGGGCAGATTAGCAGAAGACCACAGCAGCATGGAAATGAGGTTAGGCAGCCAGCGTTTCAGAGAGGCTCGTCATAATCGGTAAATCCCTCCATCGAGGTCACCGGGATGAAAACTGATGGACCGGAGACTTACTGTGATTTCAGTGCCCTGCATAGTGTTCTAATTCAGGTGTCTCCTACGTTTCGAGACAAAATGTGTCCTAATGAGTTGTTGACTATGTCCCATTCCTTCCTCAGTATGGTTCATCAGAAATTCTGCTCTCTGTTGCCCGGTTGCAGATGATAAAATGCTTTGAGTATACAATGATAGAAAAACCACATAATCACATTTTAATGACCATGTGTAACCATGTCTTCTAAGTAAATAAGAATAATGATTTAACACGTCTTCTGTTTTTCCTGTGGCAAGCAGCTGTGGTATAAACATGAGAATATATTCCAGTGTATGATCATACAGGAAATAACGGCACCTAGCGCAGCTGTTCACACATTAGGATTAATACCACCCAGGTGCTTTGGCTGTCAGTTCAAATTTGGCACATCGTACTGTTACCCCATGCAGACTTTATTCAAGGTAGTTACGACTTTGTTGGCCATTTCCGGGCAGCTGCCCGCCAAGTAAATCTGGTAATATTCAATTTTACGTGTTGAAGAGGACTGCCTGAATGCACCATCATGCACGGTCTCTGTAACACAATGAGTGAGAACTTGCAGCGCAGCAAACCACAGAATTATGTTGCATGTGGTCGCCTGCCGCACCGTGAAGGATACAACCTTGTGTTGAACTGACAACACGAAGGAGGCAGCTCCTGAGTGTGGACACAGCTAATATCCCATTTTACGCAGATTAGGATATGTGTCTTCCTCCACGTCTCGTGAATACAAATTCGTTAACGGACACTCTCAGTCTGTCTCTCGTGGATCTGTGTGCAAACACTGACTGACATGTGGCCTTTTCCCATCAGTTAAATAGACCACTAAAAGGCTGCATTAAATTTAATGAGGGATCACGCTGCCAGGTGACACGAGTTACATCCCTGTCCTCTTGGTCGGCCGAGCGTCTTCCTCTCCGCTTGCCGCCGTTTAAAATCCGTGTCATCCTTCGAAGATGTGTTGCTGCTCTTTGGTGCCACTAACAAGACATTGCGGCTTCTGTCGGATAATTATAGGGTGTTTGATGGAGACGGAGCAGCCTGTGTGGATTGTGGTGTCATTCCTACTTTGTCCTATGACTGTGTTTGTGCTGGGTCTTGAATATTAATAGAGCGGAAAAATGCCCAGAGTGGAATGAGTTTGTGGCAGCGTGGAGTCTCGGCTTTGTGATGATGGTGATTAGCAGAGTAGAGCAAGGCAATACTCTGCTGTGTAGTGCAACAGAGAAACGGATGACTGTGTTTGGTTCTGCCTTATTTTCAGCTCGGTTTCAATGCCTCATCTTTCCCGGCGTGTGTGAGTCGAATGTGAATGTGCTGTGGCTGGCGGAGACTGAACTGGAGTCATCTTGTGAAAAATCTGAAAGATACCCTTTGGGGATTTTTATCCCACGACAAATGTTTTTTACTCATTTATTCTCACAGTCAACGTAACTCATCAGAAGACATTGTGTGCGTTCTTATTAGAAATGAGTCTCATTAGACAACACAGCATCTTATGAGAATGCATTCACCTCCTGTAAAATGTTATCATAATAAAAAAAGGGGGAGTTTATTTGTGCTGGCGTGATGCCCCCATCTTCTGGCTGCGTGTTTTTCTTTGTAACATCTCACATGTAAAACTTCGTATTATCCCATTAACCAGGAAAATAGAGCAAATAAACCATTAAACCAGATATTTTCTTTGCGTCACATTGGTGCAGCGAGTGTGTGCAGCATTACTCTTTTCCCTCCCACATCCTCCTGACCTAGATATATGAAGATAACAACACATTTCGTTATTCTTATACCATTTTAAAGACAAAAACGTATATATCGTTTTGAATGATGTTGTTCAATGGGACTGTCCTGCTGACTCCGTGTCAGTATCAAGAACTCAGAATGTATTCCTGTCACAAAGAGTGGCTTTTCCAAAGTTTTGATAAAATGGACCAAAAAGGTTTTTTCTCAAAATCTTTAATTGCATTGGTGAAAATCTTGGACTGTAGCAAAATTAAAATAAAACACATATCTTCATCAGTACAGTTTGGGTTATGGTTATTGTTGATGATCAATATTTAGCTGTACAGATTAAGGAATCAGTAAATCACTGCACTCGCAGCGTAGTTGAGTTTTGAGCTTTTTGTACAGTTTTCGAGGCGGAAAACATTTAAACATGATGCAAGTCAAGTGTTTATTAAAGGAGACTGTGCTGTGAATTGAAGGCTTTCCATTGCAGAGTTCTTTTACTTGTCTTCCCCCACTTTGATTGCACACGTGATCGCATCCCCCATCTGTTCCTCAAGATTATTCCGTCTTTTTCATTCTCATCCTCTTCTCCCGTCTATCTCAATTACCGCCTTTCGTGTCAGCAGCCGCCCACGTTCTGCTTCCACAAAACTAAACATGTGCACACATTAGCTGGAAAAGTTTCCCTCTCTCCTTGTCTTGTTTTTCAAGGTCTTGTTGAGCAGCAAGAAAAGCCCCCGAGGAATATCATGGCGGCGTGCGCTGAAATTTTAATCAGGAGGAAATGGGGCGGCACAATCTCGCTTCTTTTTAGTATAAATTTGCACAGATGGACTCTTGCTGCTTGTCAGGTTCTTGTGTGACACACTGAGGGCGTCTGTGACTGAGAGAGGGAAAGAGGAGTGGTAGAAGGCGGCGAAGGAGAGAGGAGGGCAGAAGAAGAAAAGAAGAGAGGGGGGGCTTCATACATTTTTATATAATAATAATAATAACTTTATTTAGTATAGCCGTTTTGCGTGGAGGAATTATGAAGAGGTGTATATGAGCACTGACTACTTATAAAACTGAGAGATGTGATATGAAATGAAACTGAAGGGCAAATTATGATATTTTTTAAATTAATTATAATTATATCAAGTCATTAGTTTGGATTTTACATGGACTGTAATTCAGATTGTTGTTTTTTAAAAAATATTTAAGCCATTTTGTTCCGTCCATATACTGTCGCAAGAATGACCATTTTACAACTTGACGTTTACGCAGAAATGGAAGCTAAAATCAGCCATCTGCACTGTCACCAGTGTCAGATTCACAACAGATGTTACCGTTTTTTTTTTCATTGCTGTAATTAAATTTTTTATGTGGGTCCCATGTCAGTAAACTCAGAGTTCACATCTCAACATGTACGCTAACGTGGTTGGGCAAACAGACTTGTCCACAAAATTTGGTACATGGATGCAGAGGATTAATCCTTAATGAATATTCTTATCCTGTGACATTTAATCTCATGACAACGTTTAAACTATTGAATAAAATATCTCACCAGTTTAGTTTGGTTTTTGGTCATTTGAATGATCCACATCTTATCAGTTACACAAAAGCTGTTTCCACACATGCACTGAACTCCAGATATTCTCCTGAAATTATTTCAGGGGAGCTGTTTGTGAGAAAGCAAATGTCTGAGTCAGTTGCTCTGGACATTCTCCAGAGATAAAACTCCCAGCGAGACAGTGGAACGTGTAACCATTATGCTGCGCGACAGACAGAATCCAAATATCTGAGGATGATCGTGATGATACATGCCGGAGACGCTGAAAAAGTTTTGATGTGCTGCTGTTGCATTCTTCATATGTGACAGGATAATGTCCGCGTCCAGTCGTCCAGACATTAACGTGTTACTCGGTCTACCCTTTAACCCTAAGTCAGCTAATTGAAGAGGTGAGAATAATTTAAAATCTCATCAGGTTTTAAAACTCCGTCCTGCTTCAATTACAAATGCACAATCAAACCAAGAGTCCTCAAACCCAGTGTGTGTGTAGACACTGTACACACAGTTTGTTATTCAGTGTCATATTCCTCTAAGCCAGCGGTCTGATTAATAATTCACTGTATTTCATGCACTCGCTGATGCCATTTGTATTTAAAGTGTCTCACTAATTGCCTCCTCCCATCAAGCTAATTATTACTCCATTGTGCTGTGATCCTGTAATTCATGATGCCGAGTCACTGGAAGTCGCCCGGCGTGCAGAATGACTAAGTGGAAGACGAAACGGCTTCTGCCTTTGTATGCGGCTCCGCAGTGGATCTGCCTGTATGTGTGTGGTTGTGTGTATATAAGGCCTCCGTGGGGCTGTGTGTCACAGCATTGATATTCTCCTCACGGGGTCGTCAAGCATGAAATAGAAGAGTACACTTTCTGTGGATAGACTCTCACCAGAGCGCTGCTGGATAGTGAGAGGCTGATGCTCTGGAGAAATCTCTTAGCTGACACTGAGGCTGACAGAGTAGCAGCAGGAAGAAAAAAAAAGATCCTGTTGCATGTGCTGCATTATTGTATAACGGTGTTGCAGTGTTTTAAAAGTGCACACCAATGATTTGCAAGGTTTAGCTCGATAACAACAAGTGCTGCTTCTTGTTACTTAAAAACCAATGATTCATTTGAGGAGGGTAAACCTTTGCTTGTTTGGTGTGGGAGGATGTGCTGCTGTACTTTAACTTATTCAGAACTTGAGAATCGAGAAGCAACAAAAAAAAGTTTTTGCATCAACACAGCGCCCTTTTAACATTTAACTGCACATTGATTGAAAAATAATAATTACTATAATTCTATTTAGGGTGTTTTTAGAGACTTGAAAATGAAAAACAATTAATCTCAAGTACTCGTCCATTACATTTATCAGTTCTTGTAAGTCATTAAAATGGCAAGCAGGAACTTGTAGTGCAACTTTTAGGGTTTTTAATCACCTGATAAACTCGTGACCAGATCAACAGATCGGAACAGTTTCTGGAAGTTCACTTTTGTACGTTTCTTAAATTACCTAAACTCCATAAAAGCCAAACTGTAGTATATTTTGGTCATGCTGGGTAGAAATGTGATGCATTATATAATATCTTTACTACTGTTGTGCTTTCAATACAGAACAAGTGCAGGTGTGTCTCTGTGTGGTCGGCATCAATATGTAGCATCCATTCATGTGCTGGTATGTGTCTGCAGGGCGTTAACCGGATGGTGAAGGATGCTCAAGTGGGACGTGACGGCGTACGGAGGAAAGACTGGCACGACTACGAAGCAATCAAAAGAGACGCCTCTCGCTCCGGTGGGTCCAAACCTCCTCACGGCCGCTCCTCATAAATATTGTGTGAAATGTAGATGAGAAGAACACGACATATTCATCCCGCACACAGTGTTTACAATCTCATAGACTGAAGACGGAGTCGTACATTCACATGAATGTATTCAGAGTAACACACACACAGTCCTATTTCTCTCTGGATCTTATTACTCTCCAGCTCTGCAGCAGAGCTGTAAATCTGTGCTTTGAATGCAGTTTATATCTGCTACAATAATCACCAACTCTGTTTTATTTTCTGCTCAGGGAAATCAGCCTCTATACAAACAGTGTAAATTATTTATAATGGGTTTATCCCTGGAACGAGCCCCTCAAGTCTAAAAGTTGTTTCTCCACACGTGTAACTTTTAAGATGGAATGTGTATAATTTCTGCCTAATGAAACATGCATGTCTGTAAATGATGACTGTGGTTTTTCGTCTCCTTTTTTAATAAAAACGCATCATGTGAAGCTGTAAAAATGTAAAATCTTGGCAGTTGTGCAATTAGAGTTCATATTTATTTCATCATGTTTCATCAGCAGCTTTCTTAATGTCCAAGCTTTTATTTTTAAGTACTGAGTGTGCCCTTGTGTTCTTTGTGTGTCTAATTTTAGACAAGACAGGATTTCATTTAGTGTTGTGATCTTAGTTTTTACAGAGATAAAGCCCCCCCCCATCAAGTATTTATATCAGCCATTACTTTAAAATGTGTGCAGAGTCTTACTGTGTATTGAACCTGGTGCACTGAGGTCTTGCACTTGTCTTCACTTAATGCAGGTAATGGAGAACAGGGGAAGGCGTTCCCCCTCACAGATTCTGACCGGGTCGATCAGGCGTACAGAGAGAACGGATTCAACATTTACGTCAGTGACCGGATCTCCCTGAACCGCTCCGTCCCCGACATCCGACATCCAAAGTGAGTCCTGCGTGTTTGTGTTTGTCTAAGGAGGGAGAGAGTGAAGGGAGAGCAAGAGATGACGTGTCAAGACAAACGAATCAGTGTATCACGGTATCTCAACGGTTCTGAAGGTCAGGCCGGACTGCAACTTTCTGCCCGAACCAAGTCTGAGACAAAACTGGACCAAGCCAGACCCAAACACTTCAGGAATTCAGTTTTTTTTTGTCTGAACCAGTCCAGAGCCTGATGTTTTCCCTGATTTCAGCCACGTGCAGTATAAAAACTGGACTCATAACTGAATATCTTTAAAAAATTGTTGATCCACAGGCTCCTAGTCGACTCAGGTCTGGTATCCACACTCTTCAAGCCTTTACTGTTTGCTTTATAATGATCATACTCTGACACTACTTCTTTGACAGTTTATGCAAATTGCATGAAACAAGTCCTGAAAGATAAATATTGATAAACTGCCTTGAACTCATCTACAGATTCACAACTTGTTGTCTGCCTCAACTATCACTGTAGTTTTAAATGTGTTTGGATTAATTGACGATTGTTTGATTAGTTATTAGAATGTAAGACTCCAAAATAAAAAACAATGTCCTTTTTTTTTTGTCCGTGCAGTTCCAACTCTCAATCAGTCACATTTTATGGACGGTGCAACCTTTTGCTTTAACTTCAAAAACAGCAAAGTTTCTACTCACCTCCTGCAACCCTGCAACTTTCCCCACAAAATAAATCTTCTTGGTCAGTGTTTCTTGGCAGTTTCATCTGAATAGGGGCAGGGACCGGGAGTCTGCAGGGTTTCATTCCAGCCAAAGACTGCAGCAGGTTATTTCACAGATTGGCACTTCATCAACCAAAGAGCCAAAATGAATCACCTGGTGCAGACGTGGTTGGATTGAAAACCTGCAGACTCTGCCCTGTGTGGCAGATGGTTGTTGCTCACCAGCAAGTCTGATGAGGGAAATCTGTTTGTAGATAGAGTCATAGAATCAAATGGCCAATCCACCTCAGGAGGAGAAGTCATTTTTGGCCAAGTTTGATCTCTGAATTTAACAAACCCGAAGTCACAGCGTCAGTGCCTGGGGAGCAATCTACTTCAGCTGTGGATGTTGAGGGAGGGGAAGCGCTTTTCATTCACTCAAACGGTTTGGAAATTGATTTGATCTGGCAAAACTTCCATTCCAATTCTGTTTTTCTAACCTCTTGAGTGTGGCAGCCGCAAGAATTTACCTCACCAACATCTTTGGGTGATCAGGGCGTGAAATGGTGAGTCCATGCTGCAGTTTGCTGAGGAATTTTAAAGAAAGTTGTTGATTTTAAGGCCTTTAAATAATTAATAGATAGATAAGAGTCAAGCTTCAAGGTTTACCCATTGAAAGCGTTAATGTGCATCATAACAACTTGAACCACTTTCCTTCGGCTGCGTACTTCAGTGCTTTGTCAGTATTTGAAGATGTAAATGACTTTAAACTTGGCAAGGAGTCTTAAAAACTAGAATGGCTCTCAGTAGAGTGCAAAGCTCCGCCAAGGCCCATCAATCTGTGATAAACATAATATTTCGTAGATTTAAATTGTAGACAAAATCATTGAGAGACATAATCTGACACGTTTATCAGGTTATTTTCATTTTCTAAAAGGATTTAAGTTTTGTCAGACCAACCACCAAAATCCAGATTCAAACAAAACCAACTGTCCCTTAAATTCAATCAAACTGCACCAGATTTCACACACTCATTGATCCCAGTCCTCTGATTGGCTGCCTGCCTGATTTTTTTCCATCAACATGAATTGATTGAACTCAAATGTCGCAATGTCAAGGAAAGTGAAAAAACACCTTCCCTGTTCCTCCCTGACCCAGACCACATGCTTCCACCTGGTTTGGTGAGAATTAGCAGTTTTTTATTTTTAATTTTTTAAGGGGTTGGAATCAACGTCATTGGCGGAGGTAACAACTCTATTTATGTATTTATAAAATGTCGGACAATGCGATCATGTTGTGAGGGGATGACACTGCAGCCAATAGGACAACTCTGTCTGAACATCAAACCCTATTTTGAAGACACCTTTATTTTGTCATGCTGGATCTGTCCCAACTCATTACAGCAAGCAGTGTTTGGAACACTTGTTCCAGTTATCAACCTCCCCAGTCTATTCACAGGGGAGATGTAGCTTTGCACAGAGAGGAGCTGATTACACACCGCACAGCACCTATGTCCTTATACACCACGTTCTTGACAGCAATTATCAGTGTCATTGATGCCCCCCCTCATCCCTCCGCATCTGTGCACGAGGTGTGAAGAGCCGATGATAGATGCGTCCTGTGCAGTGGAGCAGCTTTTGTACCGACGGCTGTGGCACAAGGGTTATTTTTTGAAGGAGTGTTTCCTTGCTAAGAAGATGAGTAAAGAGAATAGAGGAAAGTGGAAAATCACAGTTCTCCTAATCAAGACAAAAATAAAACCCTGTACTCACCCTCAGATGCTGCTTTATTCATTGTGCTCTACTGTTTAGAGGATAGAACAGATGACATGTTGTTGATCTGTGGTGACATAGGAAAGGCCATGTGAAAAATCCACTGGTTCATCAATTGTTCACAGGGAGGACATTTCCTGATAGAGCCCTGCCAACATGGGAGCTTTCTATCAACACTGGGGGGAGTAAAACATTTCCAATGCAATAATATATCAGCAGTTATAATTAAAACATTTGCAAATGATTCCTAAGATGACGTTTCCAAACCCTCAGGTCAAAATAATATATTTGAAGTTTGATATATTACAATTTAATTATAACAAAACTGATACAAATATGTCTGGGAAAGGCTCATATTGGCAAATTCTCTTCATCCAACAGATAAATCGTCTCTGCATTCTTCTTAGACTAGACTGTGTTGTGCAGTGTTGACATTATGGGCCCAGAGAGAATGTCAGCAGTAAGCTTACAGTGTCTCAAGTGTTCGTCCTGCCAGTTGAACTTATATTGTTTTCAAGTTTATTTTATTGGAATGGACATTATTATTTGATGGAAGCATTGGACAGAAAGGGTATGATCGTGATTCACGAACAAATCTCTTGGAGATTTAGCCACCAATTGTTGATATAGTGCATCTTGTTCTATTGATTGTCTGTCCATCCAATAGTTTGGTCCAAAATTAAACAAAACTATTTTATCAACCTCCTTTTGAATTGGTGTCAGATGTCCGTCATCCTCTGAAGATAAATCACAATTATTTCTTGTTCTTCTTTGAATTTGTCTTGTTTGGTTGCTGCCAAACCAGAGTTTGATTGACGTGCCGAGAACAGAATTGATGATTGCAGTGTAGAACTGGATCAGCAGCTCAGACTCAGATACGTGGGTTTGGAAAGGAGGATTTCTGGGATGATGGTATTGAAATCCGAGCTGGAGTCAACAAACAGAATTTGTTTGGTTGTCCCTTGCATGATCCTGCATCTCCTCCAAGCCCCACAGAGAGCTGATAAACCCTCCAACCAAAATATCCAGGAAACTTCCAGCATTAACGAAGATGAGTAACCACTGTCGGGCCAGTGTTTAGTTCTTCTTGAACGAAAGTTGCAAAAGGTGAAACGAATAAACAAAAACATTGGAAGAACGAGGGAGCTCAGCACGGATGCAGCCGTTCACAGCGTCATCCTAAATCAAGGAGGAAATGTACATATAATAATGTGTTGGAGAACAGATGCTGCAGAGACATTATAAGCTACATAGACCTGTGGCTACAGCACACATTGCTGGGTTTGTTCTTGCTCTCCTCTGACTCATTCCAGAAGAAAATACTGAAAATAAACACAGCAGAACCACTATAAATATCGTCTGCTAAACAGCTTGGGACCCGCTGACCCCATTCGTCACAGACCAGCCTGCAGCGCTTTGCCTCTACCTGACGAGAGCCTTCTCCTGACCTTGCCGTCACTTTCATGTTGAAAGCAGTTTTGAATGTGTTCGCTCTCAGGGTCTCATTGGGACACAATTCATGTTCGCTCTCATTTTCCCTTCATATTTTTAAATCTCCTGCATCTCGTGAGTTTATCCGACCAGCATCGGCTGCCTCTGTAATTGCTTGATGTATACAAAGCTTTTGTGGTTTTTCATGGTTTAACACTTTTGAATGCACCTCAGTCAGCGATCGTCCTTGATAAGCAGACGCTTTGGTTTATGCAAAGCAAACATTTGCATTTCATTTTTAAAGACTGGTGCGATGGGTTTGAATTAAAAGGTGATGCTCTGTACGGAGGAGGGGAGCTGGTGTTTCTGTTTGATGGGTCGAAGTGACAGCAGAGTGACAGGTGTCGTGACAGCCAGGTGCCACATCAGTGCTCGATAGGTGCAGACCTCCCAGCAGCTCTCAGACTGCATGGCAGGCCTGAAAGACTCTGAGATAATTAATGTCTGTGCAGATCCCCCTCTGACTTCTCAGAGAGGGAAAGAAAAGACGAATGGAAGACAAGTCAGCAGGTGGCATGCTTCATTACATGATTTTTAAAAGAGCAGCACAGTGTTCTGCAATGAAGAAGAAGGATTTTCTTCCCCGCTGACAATTGGGATTTGAATATTTGAATGATAGCATCAACAGTAAAGCTTTTACTTTATTGTTAATGTTAAATGTTGGGAGTCTATTGGGTCTGTTTTTAAATGCGCTTGAGTTCTACTTCACATTAGAATCATCTTTTTTTCAGCACAACATTCCCTATATGACCAGACCCTTCATCTTTCACTTTGACATTATATATTATATATTGGACGCAAAACCACACAAGACACATCAAGTGATTTGATCATGCTGGCGTGATCTGCGACTCTCAGGAGCTAAACTTACATTTTCTGCAAAATCTGTTTTACCTTCAAATGTAAGTAAATATTGCAGCTTTAATATCAGGTTTTAATTTCCCTGTAAGTGCCGGAGATGGTTCATTTTCAGACATTTTGCCGTTTCAGTAGTTTTACTTCAACAGGTAGTAATCGAAAAGTCTGCTGTCAGAAAATCAGCTGCTTGGATTAAATGAATTAAATGACTGTTTAGTGGTTATGACACACCTGTGTCTGTTTCCCTTGCCCTTTTTTTAAATTTTGTTTTGTGTGTGTGTGTGTGTGTGTGTGTGTGTTTGTGCGTGTGTGTGTGTGTGTAGCTGCAAACTGAAGCTGTATTCAGAGAAGCTGCCCAACACCAGCATCATCATCCCGTTCCATAACGAGGGCTGGTCGTCGCTGCTGAGGACCGTTCACAGCATCCTCAACCGCTCTCCTCCACAGCTCATCGCCGAGGTCATCCTGGTCGACGACTTCAGCGACAAAGGTACGGACCACACACACACACACACTCATCACTGACACACACCTGCGAACACGAGCGCAGCTGCAGCCAGTGGAGCTTTTAATAACTGAGACTTTTAGTTGTCTGTGGCATTTTCTCATCTTCTCCGTCTCCTTCCCTCTTGAACTGTTTTCTCACGCACAAACTGAAGCACTTGTTGTCCAGTGTTTGTGACTGCTGCACAAGTAACGAGTCAGAAACAAAAACGTGTCAGAACACTTCTGTTTACCACACATAGGGAGTAAACACACACTAACACAGACACACACACACACACACACACACACACACACACAAACTCCTTCACAGGCTCCATGGAAATCATATTATACATTTTTATTGTTATGCAGAGAGAACCTGCAGTGTCCTCTGGACAGATGGCGATGATGAGGGCGTTCTCTGACCCTCGCTACTGTTATTGAGGTCAGCCGGAGAATTATCCAGTTTCTGGTGTGGCTCGGTGTTTCTCACACAGATGCCCTAATCAGTCTGAACTCGGGAGTTAATGTACAGCTCTGATCCCTTACATAATAAATCGGAGGACAAGTGCAATATCATCACCGAGGTCTGAGTGGAGCCGAGGAACAAGATATCCATCATGAAGCCTGGTTCCCCAGCCGCTGTGTGACGCATAATTTCCTGTTCACTTTTCCATTTCCTGAGATGTTAAATAATGCAGTAAAACTATATGGAGGGAGGTGAAGAGAGGAAGGATATGAAGGAATATTTTTATTTGACATTCAGAGTTGAATATTACACTTTCATAGTATTAAAGATCAAGTTCCTTCAAACCCTCTCAGTCACTTTGACTGAGGCTGATAAACAGCGTCGGCGGCAGGATGCTCCACTGCAGTCACTGCGATGCCTCGTTACATTAAGTGACGTTGTTTTGTTTTGGTACCTCACGGTCGACACAAGGCCGATAAAGAATTGATGAGCTGCTTTTCAGGCTGCACTTATATTTTCTGAGGTGCTAATTAGTGTCTGCTTTCTGTGTTGTGTAATTATAGCCTTGCTGCCGAGCGCGTGCATCAGGACCAGCCTCCGCTCTCCTTTTCAAAATCATAATTAATACAACTATTCATATTTGACTCAAAGGATACCTGGTGGGCTATATTTATTTGTCTGTGCTTCAGCTCCTGTTTTATTGAAAGGGAAAGCGTCTCTCGTTGGGTTCGTCAATTTGGTGGATATCATCATAAGTATGCTCACAGGTGTGAACATAAGACGTTCAGTGCTTCTTATTGAGCCAGCGAGCTTGAGGAAACACAGAGACAGAGAGTGAAGACCTCTGATGGTGTCAGTTGGGGACTGATGTGTGTTGCGGATCATCAGGTTCGAGGCGGGGGTCAGAAAATATTCATTGGGACTCTTAATATTTATTTATTCCCCACTGTGTTCTGCTTTTCCATCTTTTTTCAGAGAACATGCATATTATTTTTAAACTTCTACTTCTGACTGCACTTGTTCCAGCTTGTTAAAACCATTAATGAGACATTCAATCTTTCCTCCCTCTACTTTGTTATAAGTTTTTTGTGAATGTCTTTTCTTCCTGTGATTGGTCCAAACTATCCAAAAAAAAGTGCTTTCACTCTGCAAATGAATGGAACCATGGTTCAGTTTGACCCGGACTCAGACCTCCTCTTCTGATCGGTCTAAATGTAAGCCCATTGGTAAGAGCTGTGGTCAATGGCACCTTTCACACGTGATATTTTGGTTCAGACTAAAATGAAAAGTCTGAGGATCTGGACCAAACAAGGTTGGAGGGAAAGAGTAATCCAGCTAACACACAAACCAACACCACTGTGAACATAACCTGCTTGATGGAGGTGATTAAGTTCATGAATATGAGCAGAATACGTCTCCTCTTATAGTAAAACCGCCTCTTTTCTACAGTAAATTTTATTGTAGATTGATGAAACAAGCTTCTGGTTTTCATGTGAACCGAACTGAAAGTAGTCTTTAGTGGTTTGTGTGTTAAACAGCAGCATATAAAGTGTGCCTCTGCATCCCGTGTATTACACCATCTGCATTTGTTGTTTCATGCCTGGTAGGGTGTCACAGTTGGGGCTAAAAATGAAAATCCATTACTCTGCTAAACAGTGAAGTCACAATTATTTATCGCACCGCAGGCACAGACCTACTCCTGGGAACAAAGCAGTCTCATTGCACTGAAAACAACTGAAGTTTAGGAGTTTGTGTTCGAATCACATGATCTATCCGATGGAATTTGCCCATGCATCATATTATTTCCAATTTTTAAGGTACTTTAAAGACTTCAGCTGAGGTTCTAAGCTCAGTCTTTGTGTCCAAACTTCTTTTTAACATTTTTGGAGCAGAAGAGAAAAACAGTAATGATGGTGGAATAGAAAATCTGCTGTCTGATTATGTGTAGTGTTCTCAAATGCTGCTGGTTTCACTGCTTTGTTAGAATCAAGTTGAAATCCTTCGACGATAATGAAAGTTTAGACATTTGGGTTGATCACAGTCGGCAGCCGACACCTCCTGACAGATGAAATTACTACAGAAACCACTAGTTTGAAAACTTGACAGCTTTGAAAGGGCAAAAAATAAAAAACTTGATTCCCAACGTTTTTTTTTAACTTCTACTGAAACTTTCAAGTCTTGAATAATATTTTAAACCTAGCCAACATTAGCTGCTGTCTTATAAATCAACAAACCTGCAAACTACCACTTTTTGCACAGTAATCAGATGAAAAACATAATTTAACAAAAATCGGAAAAGCTCAAAAGGGACTTTCAAACCTAGTCGAGTAAAGAAGACTTGTTTATTTTGTCCTCAAACGTAGATTTGTCGACAGAATATATCTTTCATGAAGACGCTCTCTATAAATGACCTCAAACAAATATTTGGAATTCCTTCTATATCTCATTTTTGCAACATGCACACTGATCTCTTCCTCTGATCTGCTCTCACTCACTTGGACGACCATATGTACGTTGGTGTGATGTCCATCATCCGTCTCTTCCAGGGATCAGATCAACAAAGCTCCTAAATCTGACTCTGGTAGATCTGCCAGCTCTGGCTGCTGCTGCTGCTGCTGTCTGTCATGTAACTGACCTCGCTGCTGCTCGCCACGATAATCTCTGCTGCTGTTGACTTGGAAAACTTGACTCTGTAGAAGATTGTCGGCCGCAGTGAGCGCCAGGTTTTAGCGTCATTGCCTCCTTAAGGGACCAAGTGTTGTTTACTTTTTTTTTTTCCATCCCCATTCCCAAGGACATTCAACAATCATAAAGGAAAAAATCTATCACAGAGACGGCAGAGGGACCAATGTCTCTTCCCACTGTAGCCTCGGAAAATAATATCCTGCACCTGCAGGGTTTTGAATAACGGCAGAGACTGGAGAAAAAACAGTAAAACGTCCCCCGCTGTCTTTGTGATTTCTATTGCTCAGATGTGATGGCTCTGGCTCAAAATGAAACCTTTCTTTTGTGAAGAAAGAAAATAGGCTGTCATTACCCAAGGCTGATCGCTAAGTGTCGTTCTATTCACACCAGATTTATAACTTTGCAAAAATAAACATTATGCAAATCCAAATACAAGGATAAAATATAAAGAGACTTTGCAGCCTATTGATGTGAGGTTATATCACACTCAGGCGGCTGGTTGAACTGGGACTTTGGGCTGATTAATGCATAGAATGAACAACCAAAGACCTGCTGATAACATAAATTCAAAGTTGAATTAGTAAAAAAGATGAATTAACACGTCTACTTAACGACTTAGTCTCAAAGCACGGTTTGGTTTGAAGCAGATACATTAGATGGAAAAATTGTATGTCTGCACCTGGTGGTACTTTTCACATTTGAACCATCCTGTAACTAATGGAATTTATTTTTACCTCACTAAACTCTCTCTTTATGTCTTACATTTCCTCTTATGTTGATATCGTCACTGCTGCAGTTCTTGCACAGTACATATGCCGTAATATTTCAGTATGCCGTCCACATGCTATTTGATTTTCTAGATTTCAGACTTACTAAATAGTGTCACAAAGTGTTAAGTATTTTCTTAAAGAACTCCAGTGGCTGTTCGACACCCAACCCTAACTTGTTCTGAATTTACATTCTCATCATAGGTTCAAAAACCTACTTTGTTCAATTATTCAATATATAACAGCTGGGGAAACTATCAACCAATCAAAAATAAGAAACTTCATGCATTATCTGCATAGACAGTGAGATGCGTATTTATATCTATGAAAAATAGCAGCTAGAGACTGAGATTTAAGCAAATACATATATATATATATATATATATATATATATATATATATATATATATATGTGCAACTGCAAGTGCACCCAGAGTAATAGCCTTTTAATAAACCTAATGATTCAGCTGACATGAAAAATTGTCATTGCTTTTACTGACTTTAATGCCACAAATCAACAACACTATTAATTATGGCGAAGCAGAATTTCTGTGTGCCTCCATGAAAAAAACAAACTTTTCTCAGAAGTGTTTTCAGTGGTGATCATTAGGATATCGTTCTTTCCTTCTCAGGGACAAAATGGACTCATTGTTCAGCGAGCTGCTCTGTCGGCTCAGAAGTTATCAATCATCCCTCGGTTATGCTCTTTTAGTTGTGCAAGATGAAATGGCGAGATTAGGAATATTTCTATCTGTGCTGCTTTTGCTGCCTTGGTAAAGCTTCTTAAAATACCAAGAAACCACTTGGTTAAAAGAAATGTGGACGGCCTCATATTTCCCTTTCATATCTCATCTCTGGCATGTTATTGGGCTCAGACGTCTTCATAGCAGAGTTTCATTAAACCAGGGACGGTGCGAGTCCAGATGCATCCATCATGGTTAACTGTGGTCTGTCACAGAAGCACCACCACCTCCTGCGATGGAGACGTGTCACTGACTCCAGATCGATTGTCCACTGCAGTGTTCTGCTTGAAAAACTGTAAAAGTTATTATTTGAGAAGCCTGAATTTTAACACGAGGGACG